TGTGGGGAAATTTGATGAATTTGGATGAAGGTGATCAGAAAGTACACTAGACTTGTAAAATGGGTTGAAAACAATAGTCATTTAATTTAAAAAACTGAAAAAAAATTTTTTCAAAATGGTTTGGTAAAACAAAGTAAAATAAAAGTTTTTAAAGACATTTGAAAGTATTATTTCAAGTGATTTTACATACCTAGGAAGTATACTAACAATAGTATCTAAAAGATATATTTGCTATGTAATGAGTATTTTTTAAGAAGATTTGGACTTTCTCTCCAAAGACTTATAGTTGAATATTGGAAGATTGATGTTTCATATATAAACATTATACTTAAAAGGAAACAATAAGCTATGGGAATAACTCCTCTCAGACAAATTCTCACAAAGCAACGAATGACCAGAGCCATGGGGTACAAATACACACACACACACACACACATACACTGAGGACATAATGTACAACATGATGACTATACTTAACACTGATGAATGGTATATTTGAAAGCTACTAAGAGAGTAGATCCTAAAAGTTCTCATCACGGGGAAATAAACTTTTCTGTGACTACAGGAGGCTATGTTTGCTAACTAAATGTATTGTGCTCATCATTTCATAAAGAAAGGTCTATTACAAGCACACAGACATGCCGAGGTCAGTACAGAAGGCAGCATGAACAAACTGCAAGACTCCAGCGCAGAAGAGTCAGGTGAAAGCATTCTCAGTGGGTCAGTCCAGCACCTCTTGTCACAATTCTCAGCCAAAGCCCTTTGATATGACTGATATGACTTAGTATTACCTAATAAAAGAACACCATAATAACATATGTCAACATATAATCTAATTTAAAAGTAAAGATTTGCCTCAAAACCATAAAACTCAGTTTAAAGCCAGATACAAGTGGCTTGAAGTCACCTGCTCTTTTCTTATTACCTGTGTCCCTGCTGTCCTCCAACCACAGGCTGACTGAGGATAAACAGGATGCTGGGCTCAGTTCCCTCCTCAAGGCATCCTCACTGAAGATGGCTCTTCTGGCCATGACTTGTAAAATGGGTTTAAAACAATTGTCATTTAATTTAAAAAACTGAAATTTTTTTTTTCAAAATGGTTTGGTAAAACAGACAAAGTAAAATAAAAGTCTTTAAAGACATTTTGAAAGTATTATTTCAAGTGATTTTACATACCTATGAAGTATACTAACAATAGTATCTAAAAGATATATTTGCTATGTAATGAGTATTTTTTTAAGAAGATTGGACTTTCTCTCCAAAGACTTATAGTTGAATATTGGAAGATTGATGTTTCATATATAAACATTATACTTAAAAGGAAACAATAAGCTATGGGAATAACTCCTCTCAGACAAATTCTCACAAAGCAACGAATGACCAGAGCCATGGGGTACAACATGTGACGTAACACATGGAACATACATCACTAATAGATTATGCTTATTCATGTACAAAAATGTTTAGTATATTATTATATACTAGTGGCCCGGTGCACAAAATTTGTGCACATTAAAAGGGAATTAATTAGAGGAAATATTTTAATATTGCTATTTGCCCTTTCTCTATAACAGAAGTGTCAGAGATGAAAGAAAATTAGTAAAATGTATATGAAAATCTCGCTACTGTCAGAGTCTGGGGCGCACCGCAGAACCCAGAGTCAAGTCCCTACCCACCCTCGCGCAATTCGAAATCGTAGGAGACCCAGACCTGGCCAGCCCCACCCCCATCAGGCCCCGCAAGGAGGGGGGGCGCAGCCTCAGGTGACCTGGCCTGGTGCCAGGTGGGGGGCGCAGCCTCAGGTACCCCAGCTCTGTGCTGG